TTTAGTTGGCGGTGAGAGGAAGCAGGCGACTTTTGGCCACTTTTAATGCTTTCGGTATTAATTAACCACAAGTTTTTAAAGAATAAATTTGGTGTTCCGCATAAGACTAACCACAAATCTTTCATATGTAATGGTTAAAAGAGTAACAAAAAACAAAGTTTAGTGGTTCTTTAAGGTCACGCCAGATATCTGTCAAGTTAAGTTGATCTATTTTTTCCAAAATTACATTTCTTGCATTAGGGTTGTTAATATGTTTGTAGTTCTCTAGATCTATGGTTGGGTCAAGTACCACATTCCAATCACCACAGAGCACAATAGATTCGTTATCGAATGCATCAGTTTGATTAAATAGATCTCTATAAAAATCAGGCGTATCTTGGTTAGGGCCGTAAATAGTGGCTAGTGTTATTCTTATACCATCAATACTTATGTCAACAATGATGAAATTACCATTCTCATCTTTCTTATATTTATGAATATCAATCTCTCTATCATTGTTAAACAATATTGCAACACCTCTAGAATTTGACCGGAATGGTGATATGATACAATTCAAACCCCATTCATTCCTCATGGTATTCTCGTCTTTTTCAGAAATATGGATGTCCTGCAGGCATATAACTGTGGCTTTACGTTTTCTCCAAATGTTCATAATCTCTCTCCTCTTTTGTTTGTCAGCTAGTCCCCTACAGTTAGCGGAAACTATTTTAATTTTATTATCCATTTTCAAAGTGAGACATGATATTTAAAAGCAAAACTGTTTTTATTGTTGTTATAGTCACAAAGCAGTCGCATGGGGTGTCTGCTATACCCTCCTATATGCCCACTAAAATGGTTTTTAAGTTTGCTGGAAAATAAAAGAAAAAAAATTGGTAAAAAAAGAGAGAAAAAAAAGAAACAACATCCGCATAATGTTGTTTAAGACAGGTTTGACGCTTCCGTCTATTTGCTCCTTAACCTAAAGTGACATGGTTAGGTAATAGCAACAAGCCAAAATATAAAACAAAAGGTTCAGTGAACATCAAAGTATGAATATGTGTAACAAATGTTATGTAACAGTCACATCTCAAAATCACATAATTTCAATGGTAATATCAGAACTTGTGATATCTAGTTCACTAGGAAAATTGAAAGGAAAGATCATACAGGAATAAGGATTCGTCAAACATCAAAAGTTCTTTCCCAACCTTTGGGCCTGACTTCATAGTTAGCAAGTCTTATTTTAGACTTATCTTCAATTCACTACAAAATTAGAAGTGAAGGGTAATATATATACAAGGATTTAAAGACTTAAGAAATGATTTCGATACCTGGGCTAGCTTCATATCAAACTAAACATGGATTTAAGTACCAAATATCATGTAACAGGCACATCTCAATCTAACAGGATGATTTCAATCATTTATCATGTCCAATTGACTAAACAGTTGGAGAGAAAAATGATGTAAATATAAAGTAGTATTCATATCTCAATCAAACATGATTTCAGTGATGTATTATGTCTAGTTCACTAAGATATTGAAGTGAGTTATGAAGTTAATATTATGTAGCAGTCATATGTCAGACTAACATAATAGTTTCAAACACTTATGTCTGATTCACTGAACAGTTCGAGAGAGAAGTGATAAAAGTACAAGTATCATTTATGTCTCAGTCCAACATGATGATTTCAAACAACTTTTTATGTCTCGTTCACCAAGAAGTTTAAGTGAAGGGTGATCATGGTGATGTCAATATTGTGTAATAATCCTCTCTCAATCCAACATGCCAGTTTGAACAACTTATCATGTCCAATTAACTAGGGAATTGGAGTGTATAAAGGTGTAAATAAGTTGTAGGAACTGACTTCAAACAACTTTTCATGTCTAGTTCACCAAAAAGTTTAAGTGAAGGGTGATCATGGTGAAAAAATATTATGTAGCAGTCGTCTCTCAATCCAACATGATAGTTTGAACAACTCATAATAGTTTGAACAACTTGATATCTAATTAACTAAGAAATTGGAGTGAAAGAAGGTGTAACTAGGTTGTAGAAATCTCAAAGTGAATCAAAGGACTCAGTTACATAGTCCTGAATAAATGAAACATATTTTATAAACAGTGACTTCTGTCTCTAGCAGAAACTTTTTCATGAGAGGTTACATGTGATACATCAAACTGGATGTCACTAGTGTGAAACAATTATACATAGATACCACTCATTGAGGAGCATATTCAAAATCGGCAGCACCGAATTTAGACCTTCTATGAAAGGGTGTACAATATTTATCATATTATATACCTTATTATGGGAGAGGTCCATTGTTGTTTATATATTTCAGATGCATGAACAAAATATCTCAAATTTTAAAATGTTTTGAAATATTTAACAGTCTGGTTATGTTTCTATCACGAAAAAATATAGACTGGGCACTGTCATTGGTTGCAATTTCAGTGAATAACAGTATTTCACATAATTTTTAAAATATTACCTTGTCAGAATGTCGTTAATTTCTGAAGCAAAAGTATTTACCTTACCGTACTGAGGGCCCATCCTCATTCCAGAAATCCAACGAATAAAGATAGTTTTACAAATTTTATATATCTGACGTGGTTAGAGATCGAGTGTTCAACTACAAAGCTAAGTGTTCTCATACACGTCCCATTTTGTACAGGGACACAACATTCTATAATTGATTGTCCCTCATTGTAAGTACACACTCGAAAAGTTCGAACGGTAGGTCAGTTTATAAACATAGTTTTCATTATTCCTGGAGCTCATAGTATCCATTACAGCGTTGCAGTGGAATTCTCAAAATGTTACTCGGCACACAAGTTGTAGATCCTTGTTTTTACAATAATCGGAATATCCTCCTGTCCGATAACTTGCTCATGGTCCTCGGCGGTATGCCTCAGTCCGGCAGTCCATCAGTGATTGGCAGCATCATATAGAGCAAGTGATAGTTCACAATGTTCTAGCTTATCTAACAGTAGGCGTATCGTCCAGTCCAATATCTCGCCACTGAGAATCTTTATTTTGCCTGTAGCACAGCCTGATGTCGATACCTTTCTCAACGATTTTAGTGTGCACCTTATACTCTTTCCTCAAGTAAAACGCCCTAGTGGCGAGTTTTCCACGGAACTTTTTCAGTTTGACTGGTAAGTCTGTGCGGATAGAAATATGATTTTCCCGTAGCATCTGTCTGTTAGTGAATGTGGCATTGAAGACCAGCTGCCTATCAGTCATCCGCACGAATTTCACAACAATAGGCAGAGGCATTTCTGCAGAGCGTCCTGTAGTTGAGTAACGTGGCAGTCTATGGATATTTACAAAGTCCATTTTGTTGGCGTTCTCCACGTTCATTTCCTCAAATAGTTTTTTCACTTCAGCTTCGGCATTCTTAGCGTCTGGAACCCCGTAGATTAGTAGATTTTGTTTCCGTGAGTGCATCTCAAAAACCATATCCTGTTTTTCCATGTCGTCTCGTAACTCTTTGATTGTGCTTTTCAGGGTTTCGATTTCCCGGCGATTTTCATCAATAGCCTTTGAATTGAAAGAGATGGAACTGATTACCTCTGAGATTCTTGTATTTGTGTTTGTCAGTTCTTCCTGTATCATGTCCATTTTACCCGTTAGTTTATCCGCTAGCTTATCTATTTGGGCTGTAAAGAAAGCCCTCATATCCATCGGTTCGTCCGCCATCATGGCCATGCGGTCTTCGTTTCCGGTAGTATCATCGACTTTTTCTTTTGCACAGGTCTTTTGTTTAGAAGCGCCATGGGATCTAAATCTTTCAAGGCTAGTGATATTAGTTGATTGTAAGTTGTCTTTAGACTTGTTTTGGCTCCGGGTTGCTGCCATTTTTGATGATTGAAGAGGATTTAGACGGAGCGCTATGCTCACCCAACTTAGCTCTCGCAATGCATTACCGGAAGACCAGATCTTGCACTTAATATTACAGTTATTCAAGGACAGGAACCTTTTAACCACTGTGACGAACAATGTGTAGCTGTTCCGGCAACCTTGGTCAAGTCAGTGATGTATCTTTCAAGGTGGAATGGGAGACACAGTTCCAGGTCTTGGAAGAGTTCTTAAATTTCAGAAGATGCTGATGCAGGACATGCTGCACAGTACAAACTGACTAATCCTGGTTCCAGGTCCCGTTCCAGATGACAACCCTGATCATCATCCAAGTCTAGGAATGTTACCTTTGGGAAGACCGTGGATGGGAGGGAATCGGCTAATCTAAACTTCTTCTTGCAGATCATGATCCCCAATCCACCTAGAATCATCCCTCCATCGGTACCATTAATGGTGGCTGGCAGTGTCAAAGGTCTGCAGGAGAGTCTTTTGACACCGTTTATACCAACACATCATCTCCATGTGGTTGGAGAGCACATCTTCTCACTCAGTGATTCACCCTGCACATAAACGATTTGCAGTGATCGTAGTTCTTATGGGTCAGAGGATCCAAGATCAACCAACCTCATTCAATCTGACAACTCGACAATGGTGTGGTAGATCAACTTTATGGGTAAAACAAGATCGCTGCTCCTCCTGGATCTATTACAGCTGGCAGTCACATGATCAACTAGGGACAGATCGCATGCTCTGCATGAGCTTCCTGAGATGTCCTGTATCAGTAACTGGAGCAGCGATGTGTTCAGCTGAACTGTTCAGAGAGGCTAAACACTTTGACACAGTCTAAAGAAAAAGAAGGAGCTCACTACATGCAATCAGATAATTAGTATAAAAATACAATTTATCGTTAAAATGTTTAATTGGTTTTGAGATTACACATTGTTAAATATGATGTGAATATCTAAATTTTCTTATTCACATTACCTAAAGTGCACTAATGAGTGAAAGTTTTGCCAAATGTCATAATAGATCTTATTATACACAAGGTCGGAGTTTTAGAAAACCCAAAATAGTTGTTGCCACATACAACTTGTACATCTCACAGTAATCCACTTGAGGTAATCATCACTCTTTATCCTGATTATTGTTATGTGTTTCAGACTGAAGTCTGTCGGAGGAGGAGGAGGTAGACTAAAAGCAGCAGACTTCATGTAGCCCAGTGCTTACGGACTTTGAATGTCATGTGAAACTCATTGAATAAATTAATTATGTTTTTATGCTTGCTCTTAACAATATATTTTGTTGTGTTTAAGTCTGAGACTCAGTAAACCATTTCCATAACAGCATCTGATTACTTGGCTACCCAACCGCCCCACAAGTGAAAGAATCTGTCAGTTAATTATTAATCTTGAGTGCTTGAATCACAGCACTAAACAATATGAGTGCTTGAATTACAGATTGGTTGAAAACTTTTAAGTCATGTTGCTACTTTAGAGTGAGATCATTGTCGCTTGCATTCAAATAACTAATTCCTAATTTAATGTAAAAATCTGTGAACAATAGTAATTCACATGTTGTACAGGGAAAGATACAAAATCTACATTACATTTTGAGCTCACCTGGGGAAAAATGCCAAGAAGTTCATAGAGGATAATACACATTTTGAGGTAATATGGTAGCTTGTTCAGTTCAAAATATTTGAAAATAAATAAATAAACATACATTGAGCATCACTTCTGAAAAGAAGAAGTATTGGCCATAAATAGCTATTTCAACATTGCTGCAATAGTTGCCATATTTGTATTGAAATACCAACATTTTAAAACTTATCCTATCTCACGATTTGCACTTCTCTCTCTTGCTTCGACGCTGAGTGGAACGAATGAGAACTTTTCCTGTAGGCCTCTCTTGTCCATACGCCTGTGTTCCCCAGGCTGCCCTTCTTATAGGACAGGTCCCTAGTCCCCGGCTAAGCATGCAGCACGCTCCCCTGTCTACCCACGTGACTACCTCAGAGTGATCATTCTTCTGCTTGTCGCACCACTGTGTGGACGTATTGTGAGAGTTCTCAGCTTTCCTTACAACTAATACAAGTTAACATGAGAAATATATCATGGGTAGTTGACCCTAAGTTGCGCACACTGTAACAATAGTTACTTCTCGGATCCCCACTCGTCATGTGTGGGTTATATTGACCTGTGTTCCTGGAGCAAATGTTGTCGAATGTGCTCCCTTATCAAGGACGTTTTTAGAGCATGTAGACATGCTTGCTCCCGTTGGCTGGCAGACAGAGCTCGCTACACTTCAATAGTTGATCACCCGACAAACCTCCGCTTTTAACGACCAGTATTAACTGCTCGTCGTCCGGAGATTCCTATGTCGGACAGTGATGATTTTATTGGTGCATCATCAGATGTCTACTCGTCGTTCTGCCTCATCAAACCGCTCTGTGTTGCCAGCTGACTAGTCTGTCTCACAGTCCCTGAACCACATTATTTTCCCCACTGCCAAGCTCTCTCTGCAGTGCTAAAGCCCTAAATAAAGCAAGTCTTGATTTCCTCAGGTTCTAAATCTCTGGTCTCCCTGGGGCTCCTTTTCAATTTAAATCGGCTTGTTTGTTACTATCAAAATTATATATATTCAGAGACTAAGCATTAGTCTACCAGCTGACTCACACAGCCGATCTACATCGTCAAATCGCCGAACTGATTAAGCCACACTGAATGCGTTTAAGCCACGGCGTATGTGGATTACGACATCGGCTCAATTTGCCATAATATTAAGACTGTTTCTTATCGCTGAAACGGTTCACATCATCGATTCGATTGAAAGCACCGAAACGGCTCGCCTCGCATAACGGCTCTCTTCACCGAAACGATTAACCTCGTTGAACCAATTCACCTCGGACGGAACATTTCACCTCGCCTCACCGGTTCATCTGATCGTTCTAGATCTCTCCATCAGCTGAGATCATTGAAATGGTTCGGATTACCGAACCGATCCAGATCACAACACCGATCCAGATCACGGACTGATTCAGATCACATCAACATTCCGGCTCACCACCCTGAACCGATTTACCAGCCCGACTCGTACCCTTTCACCAGGCTGAACCGCTTCCTATCGCCGAACCAGTTCACCTGGCCGTTCAAGATCACTGAATTGTTAGCATTCATCGAACTGTCAGCATTCGTCAATAATCCGTTGCCAGCAATTGAGCTTATTCAAGAATTGGGCGATTCACCACTCGTGTTATTTCCAACACGGTGCATCTTACCAGCCTATCAGAGCCTATGCCAATGTGTCTGGGATGCCTCCCAAGACACTTAACCCACATCGAACCTCGTCTTTGTTTTCATGGTTCGGGCTATGCCAGTCGCTTTTAAGATGCAGGAATTGTTTTGGTTGATTCGACAAACATGATCGCATGGTTCGCCGACCACCTACAGCTACCTAGAGCAAGATACCAGATGTTCTATTGATTACATTCAACATGAAGGATCGGGACTTGTCAACACTGGTTTTCCACATCCTCAACAAGGTTCGTGAACTTGCATCTAGATAGGGCCAAATTTGTCGAACTCTGCTAGTTTTCAACACGATCCTAGTTTTCAGGGCATATGTTTGGCGCTGAAGTCCTCATTACAAAGTGGCAAGCTCTAAGCACGACAATTTGATTTTTATCCGGTTTACCTTCGGCGGCTTGTGGCTTTTAATGTTTTGATCACATAACTTATCCTCCTTGTACCCTTATTCGCTGGTTGAACAATGGTAGTAGCTATGTCCTTCACCATGCGAATTGATTTATGTGATGTCAGTAGCGCCAGTCATCTAGACATATCACTTCGGCACTTGACGGTCTGGCGATTCCAGTTCTCATGAGTCCTCCGTGACTGGGGGGCTCATCTCATTCCAGATTTAATCTACCATCCCATCTTCACCTTTGATGAATGATTGAGTTCAGCGAATCTACCCTTCGGTGTAGATATCAGTTCTACAACCAACCCGATAGGGCATTACTAGATAATTATAAGCTTGCTAGCCAGGAATACTTTACTCACGCTTCACTGAGTCTTGATACTACAGACTACTCGTAGCAGTATGTTTGTGTATCGCTGGGTGCATATTGCTGATGGTTCGTCATCTTCAGCTCCCTTTGTTTTACACGATAAGCAAGTTTCTGGACAGATAACAGATGGGTGAAGTTTTTAGCGCATGGTACCAGCAGTGATGTTTTGTCAAATAGCCAGCATAGCTCAGCCGAATTTATGGGTTGCGACTTCACCCGGTTATCGAAGACCGTGTTGTCCGTTTTTGTCACTTTCGTGTAACGCGTTGCAAATGGCGGACTACTGTTTGTTTACCAGAATTTTGATGATTAGAGTAACTATGAAGTGCCCTTGCAGACTTGTCTTGGTCCCACGAATCGGATATCAAGTCCAGCCTTTAAATGCTAGTAACAATGAACGCTGCCGTTCCCAGTAAAAGTGATTGTGTCGGGATTTCGACAGCCAGTCGAGAGAGACTGCTTATCAAGGGTGACAGACAGAAACACCCATTAACGGTTGGACTTTTTCTGGGGTTACTCGGGTTTCTGCACTAGCTCAAGAACTGAGTTCAGAGCTCTGCAGTTATGCATGGACTGTCACCAGGCGAACCATCATTTTGTTCGGCCAACCGAAACGTTCCTGAGGTCACCGATCGTACGAATTTCTTCAATTCGTTTACAATGTGAACGTTCCTGTAGATTGACTGACAATCTCCATTCCCCCAAACATACTACATTCGACTAGTAGCTCGACTTATTGAACCTTCTTATCTCAAGAGATATCTCAGAGGCAAGAGTTGTTAGACCTCTCATTTCCCTCGACCTGCGAGGCGCCTACCTTCACATCCCGATACATCCAGACTATCGGAAGTATCTTCGATTTACTTTGAAGGGGCGTCATTGATACCAATGGAGGGTCCTGCTGTTTGGCATATGTACGGCCCCGTGGCTTTTTACTCAGATACCTAATCCGATAACAAGCTACCTGCATTGTCTAGGCGTGACATTCGAGAACTATATCGACGACTGTGTTCAAGCCCAGCAGGATCCAGTCGTCCTTCCGCTCCACCAGACATGGGTTCAGTTACTTTGAAATGTAATTAATTAAGTTACAATTACTTTGATTTTCCTCAATTACAATTACAAATACAATTACACCTTAAATTAAAATGTAATTAATTAAATTACAATTACATTACCAATGTAATTAATTACATTACAAATTACTTTGTTAAAAAACAAAACAAATATATTTCTGTATTCCTTTAAGCAACAAGATATCGATGTTTGTAAACAGTGGTCACTAAATCCAATTCATATTTTTGTCATCAAAAAGTGAAATGCAAAATTAGGTTATATCTACAATGTACACTATTTGATCAAATTTGTATTTTGCATATTTATTTGGGCTTATTATCAAATAACCACCTCTATCATCTCTTGTTGCAAAAAACACTTTGTCCACCACTGTTACATTAGGTGTACTGTATCATGACATCATTACAGGCCTACATTACAATATATAATCAGCCGCTCTCTCTATCTGACATAATCCACATTAACATACTAAAGGATTTGTCAACTTGGATTTATGGCTTATTACCTTTGATGAATATAAAAATAGGACTACAGTTCAGTAAGACTTTGAATATCATATCCTATGAGAAATAAACAAAGAGGTCATTTTGATAGGAACTTGACTAAAAGTACTGTTAATCCCCCATTTGCTCAAATACCAACCTACATTCAGTCATGCGTTACTGATTCCCTTTGTTTCACAAATGTGCAGATGGTGATAGTTACAAAGGCTTAGACATTCAAATCTCTTTCAAAACTTAACACCTGCTAGAGTATATACCGACAACAAGCATCTAATTGAAAAACACTGCTTTGTCCTCCTTATTGTACAGAATATAATTGCAAGGGTTGCCTGATGAGCACCAAAATAAAAAAAGTGAGATGTAATTTGATGTAATTGAAAAGTAATTGAAAAGTTCAATTACATTGAGATATTAATTAATTAATTAAATTACAATTACAATTTTAAACATTCAATTACAAATTACATGCAATTACATAGATTTTTTGTAATAATTACATTCAATTACAATTACAAATTACAATTACCCGATGCGCCCGTGTCTGCATCTCCACAGGCAGTTCATCATCAAGTTGCTTTCGTAGCAATTAGGATGACTGCTGAATTCTGAAATCAGAGGTAACACCAACCCGGTGATTTCTT